ACAAACGTTCTGTTCTATCAGAAATCAGACATGTTGCAAGATTCTCACTAGTTGCTCCCTCAACTCACAGGTTTCCTGCCGCAACGGATGAGCATGGATATATTTTCCATTACAGATGTAGCTGAGTGGACAAAATCCCAATCATTGACTTCAAGGGCACTGACCTTATAATCCCTGACCGTACGTATGGTAATCGAGGCGTCTAATTTCATTAACAAATCCTCTAACTTGAGAAATCTGTATTCATAATAGTTACTATTAAAGACAACCTAAAAATCCCAAAATGATAACGCCGGCAAAACGTCTTGTTCTTGAGAGAGAAACATGTTGTGTTTCAACGTAACTCTACCATACGAGAGATATTCTATAGAGCGAGGACAAGGAAGCCATTTGACGAAATTTCTAAAGCCGTGATCCAAAATATCTTTTTCCTGCTACAACACACATCTAAAGAACTCGGCTGGATAGGAATATAAGAAATGATGACATATTAATGATATAATTTGACTAATAGAAAGGGAGTAATTGGTCTTTAGACCTACTTCAGTTTACTGCACCTGGCACGGGTGGATCAGCGGGAGGAAAAAAGTAGCATATAGATAGGGTATTTTAGTGAGAAATTGTCTTTTAAAAGTTGTAGAAGATGAGTAGTCACATATATCTCTGAATGCATTATTGCAAGTTCTGAGGATCATGAAGTTGCTTATGACTGGAGGAGTAATTCAGTAAGTTCCAATGTCAGTTTCTTTTTTTGTTTATAGGGGCGTTACCCTGTTATCCTGCGTCAAGTAACGTGATGAGAGTACCTTAAAAAATTATCGTTTCAGATAAAATTTAAAGAACGCTTTGTGGGAACGGGGAGACTTAGTTTGATTTGTAGTTTTAATCACTTCTACAGATTTTGTCAACGTGGATAGAACACCTTCTGACAGTAAATCAAGTGTGACAATTCAATAAACGAAGATTAAGGTCGTTTCGTCTTATTGGATCCTTCATGCCCTCTTGTGGAACACCAAATAATTATACTTCTGTACTAGTAAATTCAAACTACAATTATTCGGTGGTTTTTAGCCACATTCGTCGTAAATACGCATCCTAGAGAGATACCTAAATGATTAACTGTATTAGGCTCTACAGCATAGAGTTATTCTAAGCAAACTTGTGCAATAAGATATGGAAGAATTTCAGGCATACAAATTGTCAAAGGACTAAAACGTAGTTAATTATAAAAACAGAAATACGTTGTCGATAAACTAGGGAAAAAGTTTATCGGGTAACAACCAAACAACTCAACTTCTCAGTGGTGAAGAGCTAAAAACGTTCTACAACTACTGTGAAATTAGGCTGTAAAAAAATAGTCAATCAAACCTTTAAATAATAAAAATTGATAACATTCCAAATTAGGGAAGCTACGTTCAACAATTTGATAAGACTACCTTCAAAAAGTAGGTCGATTGAAGCAGCAAAAGATAAAACCTAGAGGAGCAATATGGCAGCCTTGAACTGAAAACAGCAAACAAAATAAAATTAGTATAGTTCTTAAGGATCTGCGAAAAAAGTGGAACACTAGGTACGAGTTAAATGAACAACTACAGTCAATATGTAGTCAAAGAAAGTGAACAAAAGTGCCGAAAATTGTAAGTTTATATTCTAAAGATAAAATAATGCACCACCGTTCAGAAAAATATCCTCTTAGAGAACGTTCACAAATATACATCAACATATTTGGCAGATCATTGCAAAAGGATTTTACGCACGTGAAAACTCGTGTTTTGACTGCGTCCACTTTTGAAAATTGTGGAAATAGTTATAGCTGAAGCAGACCGGAAATATCAACTCTAAAACTCTATGCTCTCCTTAATCTACCGAAAAGAGGAACAGTATAATTGGGTCCGATTTATAACCAGATCCTGAAGCAAGCACAATATATATGTTTCTACTCAGAACTTTAGGCCGCACGAATTTTTAACTATTCGAAACAATTTTATTTACTCATCCAAGACTTCACCAGAAGAAATTTTCTAAATTTCGTTTCATTACCCCAAGAGGAACGACGTTCTCCTTAAACAATTCTAAAGAACAACGGGTGAAAAGTTATTCGAACAACGTGATAAACTCTGCCAAGCTTACATGTACAGCACAGAAGGATAGTGATGATGTATCATATCTAACAGTTCTCCACAAGTTAATAAATCTTTTCCAAGGATCACAATTAACCTAAGATTAAGTAGACATCGACATAACATAGTTTGCAAACGAGTACAATTTCGTCGTTAGAATCTGTAAATTTAATATTCCCATGGGTTTAAACGATAGTATGCAGGATTACTTTGAGTTTCATCCCATCAAAATCCTTATTTCTTGATACGTGTAACTGGCGAAATTCCAATATTTCGTTTTAACTCAGAGCTAACAAAAAAAGTTTTTACGGTTGGACTGGATTAAGGTTTCCTGGACGAAGAGTTTGTGAGTTCCTTGTATAAAGTTATCTCAAAACACTAACTCTGTTCCTAAGTTGACCGGCCGTAATGAAAAAGAAAACGAATTATATGGGAAACACTAAAAAATCTAAATTGTACACCATGAGCTATATATTCGGGAGTTTTCACAGCTCAGAAGTGTGCTCAGTGGGAAAATGAAAGGTTACTAAAAAAAGTTAAACACCTGAGAACCAATAAGGGTGTTTCGGAAGCAATAAGATAAACTATCTGCCACCAAATATTCGATTAACTGACCCTGAAAGTCAAAGAACAATCACCAAACGCTCCACACCGTAACCTTCAGTTCTGCGAAACATGACCTAAGCATCAATACTCTGACAACACACAACAGAAAAACGGATGTTAAATGTAGATCTCAATCAATAAGGCCAAGAAAACGTACATTGAGAACCGTAAAATGTGATCACAACAGTCCTGAAGGTGGATATACGAGAAGCAGCGAAATAACAACGAAGCGACTATATTGTTCAACAAATTACTTCAGAGAGATTTTCTGAGTATTTCTTCTGTTAGTTTCAGTTCGGTAAACAGAAGAGTCTGGATAAGTTTTCATGGTCATGACGATAGTGGTCTCTCAGTTGATACAACGTTTTTTGAATGAGTCAATGAATGGAGCTCCAATCACGTGTTTAGTTGACTAGTTTTATTAGTTGATGATTCGATAGGAAAGTCAATGGTCACCTGACAAGTAGTTTGTTCTGGGCTTGTCAACGCTTTTAGTATTCTCGTAAATCCTCTAATTTGGGAGACAAGAAAAGTGAAAGTGCATCAGAGGTGAATTTACAGTTAAATAATTTGGAAATAACGATCGAATCAATTCACATCCTTTTATACAAAATGGGGAATACGTCTACTCTAGCCAGTATCTCGTCATATGACAGCCTCAACATTCCAAATGTCAACTCAGTGGCCATTCTTTGAACCTTTTACAACACCTCAGTTCACTTTCAGGCAGAGGCTGGCTGTTTGTACGCAGTACTCGAGTTTAGGACGAACAAACATCGTATACAAAGTCAAGAAGGTCTTAGCATATACATGGTTAAATACTCTATATATTGACAAGATAGTCCTGAAACTCTTAGCAGCTACGGCACAGCAGTGTGCAGTGATTTTCGGATCTTGGCTGAAGATAACTCTTGCGTCAATGTGTGTCGGGACAAAAGGTAACTCAATGTTGTTCACTATATGTGTCTCTGTAATCTGGTGACCAATGTGCATCCTAATGCACTCGAAAGCAATTATCTGGAACTGTCAAATTCTAGACCATTCAGGTAGTCTCTCCAGGTCATTCTGAAGCTCTTCCTTTGTCATCGCTCTCAACATCTTGCCACTGTTGGCATAAACGAAGCCAATGATAGAATAGGAAAGTTATATACAAATGGGAGGAATGACATAGTTCATCAGACAGATAACCTGGAGTTGACGCCCAACTGGGAAGTCCCTTACCCACACAAGTAATTTACCTCCAATCATGATATCACTTAACTCAGATAACAGTATTGTGTGGGGCTTCATCAAAAGCTTTACTGAAGTAAATGATAACTACATTTATAGGTAGCCTTAAGTCCCTTTGAGCACGACTTTCATGGACTACTAATACGTTTCTGAGACATGAATAACCCGACTTGAAACGGTGCCACCTTTCGAAAAGGGTTGAGTTTTTGTTTAGATACTTATCAGCTTCCAAGTAATCTTCCATAAAGTTATAATAACCACTCCGTTTAGGCTTATGAATTGATTGTTTTCAGGTTCGTCTCGCACTTATTTTGAAAACAGGATTTATTATGATGGTCCACCAGTATTTTGTAAGCATTACTTGGGTCTTATACATATTAAAGGATTTGCTACAAAGACTGGGGATAAAATGTGCTCGTTCGTTCATCGGGTCTCGTAGACTTGAAGACAGTTTTCTTCGTACGATTTTCTAGACTTGCGTAGGGTCGAGGCACAAATATTTCGGGTATGCTGATATTGAGATTTTGTCGCATCATTATCTAGTAGCCTAAATCTTTGCCAACCTTTTTTAGACTGCAGTATACCGATCTATTCAGCTGCTCTTGTCCCTTGCATTTCAAGCGTTATGTTATCGTTTACAATAGAGTGGATATTATTTCTAGTGAATAAATCTTCTACTTTTCGCTATTCAATCTTGTCGGCTCTTACTAACGTAGAGTCACGTTTTCTATTGTCTACAGACTATGTCAGCATATTCCTGTGGCTGCTGTTACATGTGGCCTAGTAGAATTCGCCAGCACACCTAGGTCAGATAATTTGTTGACAAGCTTTGGATATTTTTATAACAGACTGAAAAACTATATAAATGGTTTTGCTGTGCATTCAAAATTTCTGAGATATCGTTCTCTCTTGAAGTTTCATTACCCTAAAAATTTATCATTCTGAGGACCATTCACAGTCAATTAATCTTAGTTTTCGTGATTTACGGCTACTCATTTTTATATGGTCACCGAGAGATAATCCTTTGAGGGCAAAAACCTTGATGCATATGGTTAACAGTCATTTTATGGTATTGATTCCCTTTCGTTCGGAGATTAAAATACTGCCTTCAGCAGTCTGATTTACAACTGTTGTTTAAATAATTTAAGTTACTAAGCTATACGAATGGGAATCATATCCTTTCGTAACCATTGTCCTTCTACTACAAGTGGAACACAGATAACAAGAAAGTTTTCTATCCAATCGTTGGAGGCATGATCCATAGGCGCACTGATTTAATTTGACGCTACTGCTACTAGTGATGATTGTTCTATTGAGGCTGGTAAGATCTTTTATTTTAAATTACTCATCATAAACATGCTAGAAAGCCTCAAACATCCAAATTTATAAATATGCGAAATATCCTATTTCAACAAGACTCTGCAAAAACAATCCTTTTTTATCCAGTTTTTCGACGAGGTGAGTAGTTTGCATCATTCGGGTACTGTCCTTATATTTCCTATTTATAGACATTGTGTGTGATATTCCTTGCGTTATGAAAGCAACTGATTTAACACATCCGTTAATCGCCTGATTAACAGATACGTTTATTTATGAGGTTCTAATTGTTTCGAGCTGAAATTTTTTTGATGAATTTAAAGTCTCGTCACCTATCAACTTTCAAGGGGTTTTAAACACACATTGATATGCCTCAAAAATCGACTGACCAGTCTTGCATCAACACACAAACGTTTTGATGTCGATTACACGTATATCGTGTATCGTAGCTTCATTTACCCTTAAGATACCTTACAAAGTCACTAAATTTTTCTAGCAAGGTGAAATAAAGTTTTTTAATTCCGATTCCATCATAATCTACTGTCTGTGGATAGTGTTAAAGGAACATAAATTTCGGGGAAATGCCTCCTTATTGCCATATTTCTGTATATTTTACTGTGTGATTATACCGTCAAACTTCGATTACGAAACAAACCAATTGCATAACCATAATGCTTTCTTTCATTCCTATTTCTCCGTTGACCTTTGCAAAGAGTGGTTACACCAGAAGTGCTAGATGTCGTACGGGTCACTTGAATTATCAAGATAAACTATCATATCAAGGTAATAAATGACATCTAAGTGTCAACTTTGTAACGTGATGATCGATAACTACCCGCTACCCACTACTCGGTTTTCAGTTTTCATATTAAGACAGCGTCCTTACTTTGGTACGGCACCTACTTTTTATATTTCCGGTCATCATTTCTCGTCGTCTATTAGTGGAAGTAATACTTTATCATATTTTTCTGTCTCACACATAAATCGCAGAACTACCAGTTCATATTCTGAAAATGCTATTCCTCCAACCAAACCCCGAAGAATTTTCCGGAAGTTACTGTTTTTGAGTCTGATATCAATCAGTTCATTTATTGGCTTAGTTTACGTGTCTGAAACCATTCGAAATGAATTGATTTCATACTATCCACCTTCTAAGGATATACTAAATGTGGTCGAAAATTCAATTGGAGGTTGGTATTCTGGTCCAAAAGCTGAACAACCGATTGTTCCTGTTGGTGATTTTCCACTTCCACCTAAGTAAGTATATCGTCTTTCGTATTTTAAGGGTGTAGTATTTTGTTCTACAGGGTTTAAGTTCTTTACGCTTGTAAATTTGCTTGTCTGACTCGTCGCTGAGGTCTTTTCAGGGGATTATTGAAAAAGATTTATTTCCTTTAGGTTTGAAAGTGACTTCACAACTAGTAATATTTGAAATACTTTCTCCATAATTAAGGACAATGAAAGTAAAACATCTTCAGAATTCTCCATTACTCGCACACTGTAAATAATTGATGATGGACTAAGTGTATTTCTTTTAGGAAATTCGTATCAAACCATCTGTGTGCATTTTAGAGTAATTTTTAAATACTGTTTATCATCTGAGGAAGTCGAGCTGTGGTATCGGTTCTTGAAGTCGTTAACTGTTGGATCTAGGCGTAAGGAAAAGTGTGTTTCCTTGCCCGAGCCCGTGCAACAACTAATTCATATTGGGAGATGTTGGTTGATGTGGGCTTAAGTGGGTCACTGCGACAGCTGTTTTCATTTTATATCTTCGTCATAATCTTGAGTTAAGTTTCATCTCTTTTTATCATTCAATCTCTTTTTTCTTTTCGGCTACATTTCTCACTCTTAGCTTTTTATTGTAATCTATATTATTTCACGTCTTACGCTCATCTTGTTGATTTCTTTCGCTGTACTGATGCAGTGTTAAAAGCCGGCTCGATCAAACCTTTCGCTTAGTAACTCCGAAATCCTAACGTTAATATTGTTTGGTATGAGTTTCTTCAATATGCTTTTCATATTTTTGTAATTGTATCTTAGTTGGATCAATTAGAAACCCCGGAAATATATAGTGTTGCTTTGTCCTACTATTTACTCATATGGGGAAAGACCTAGAATACAACAACCAATTAATGATAGCTAAACAGTGAAAAAAGATCACCAATAATATTCAGCTGCATACATTTTAGGACCTCATAACCCATTGTGTCTGTTCGGAAACGTTTACCATCTTGAGGACTTTATACTCGTGAACTAATCTCCATTTCTCGATATATTCAGCCAGTATCTTAATGATGCGTTTCCTCGGCGTTTTTTGATATTCTAAAATTTACTCATGTCTTTTTGTCTCATCTTTTATTTGGAACGCTATTGTAAACCACATAATCTCATAAAATATCTTTAGGTGATGTTTGTTAAACATGATTTTGTCTGTACATCACTAATCTCCTCGTTCGCCCGTGCATTTTAACTAATGGTATTCAGCAACAAACTTAATGTTACTATACTCAACTTCCAGTCACCCTTTGTATGTATATATCATGCTACGCAGATGCCCAAGTCAAGTTAGGTTAGGCAGAGTGTGAACATGGAGTCCTGTGGTTGAAAGTATTTATTTATTTAATTACTGAAACACATAAACATTGGTACAAGGAGGCACCAAACAGATATGCGCCATACTTCTTCATTCGATTTATGTGAGGGTTGTGATACTGCCCGGGTGCCCAGACCGAAGCAGGTGGTTTACTTAGGGGGCCACATCCCGAGCCATTGACTTAAAGGTCTAATCCACAAGGCAGTGGAGCAACGTAAGGAGATGCTGTCCCATAGTAGTCGGTGACCAACAATAGGTTCATCCACCATTTGTTTTCTTAAGATCCTGAAACCAATGTGCACCAATAGTTTGGAATCAGGGTGGAGTCTCCGTGTTCACCAACCCGAGTAAAGCGCAGGACATTCTCCTTTCTTTCTCTCAAATTTATAAACAACACCCCCGCCGCGAGAAGGCAGTGAGTAGGACTTCCCTGGCAGTGGTTGTATGTACATGGCCATGTGAGAGCATTTCAAGAGGGTGAGCTGACTTCCTGCTCTCGGCTGTAACAGGGTATTTGGGGCATTTGGCTGAAAGTATTAATTTCTCTACTTATTTACCGTAAGATGTACTTGTACTGATGTCGACAATTCACTTTATTCTCAGTGATTGGTCTCTTATTTTTTCTACTGGCGAAGATGTAAATAGCAGTGTTCATAAATCGTAATGTTATAAGTGGTCATTTGTTCGAAGTATTTCTATCGACAATACAAATTAAATATAATAATGTTCATGGCTTTATCGTCCACTATTCTGAAAATTTCGGTTCTCGTGGATTAGCTATGACGTATCGCACTATGTCCCTAAACAACACAAATTCAAATCTTCAAGGTATCATAAATTTTTATTTATTATATTTGAACACATAAATATTGGTACAAGAGGGCACCAAATATATATGCGCCACACAAAACAATGAGAATTCTAAGAGAAAAAGAAGAGAAAGTAAGGAGCGTAAAAAAAGAACAATAACGAACAGATTAGTGTAAGGTAGTGTAATAATAATAATAATAGTAATAATAATAATAATGGGGGAAACGGAAAGGTACAATCAGAAGGAATCTTTCAGTTAAGGAAGATACAACCACTGTTTATAAAGAAAGTAAAAGAAGGTTACAGCAGGATCGCCACTGCCTTCTATTCTGAGCCATATCTGATAACGTCTGTAGCCACTGTGTTGCACCATCTCTCGGACCCCAGCCAGGGAGTCGTGAAGGGCCAACAGAAGCCAGCCCTTTGCAGCTTTCTTTCATAACACGACACCATGTCATACACTGACTACCTCTCCGCTTTTTCCAATCAGTCCCAGCGTCGGCAAATAATGCGCGACGTGGAATTCTCTGGGACGACATTCGTAGAACATGTCCAAGCCACCTAAGCCGGTGTTTCAAGATGGTGACACCAATTGCATTATCGTCTCTGTGCCCGAACACACGGTGCCGTACCCTTGCATTACTAACATGGTGTTGTCACTGGATGTCAGCAATCCTTCGGAGACAACGATGATCGAACACAGAGTCGTCTAACATCCTCAACTCGGAGAGGCCAGGTTTCACAAGGATAGAGGAAAACTGCTCTCACAGTCGTGTTGTAGATCCGACCTTTTACAGCCAGACTAACATCACGAGGGTGCCAAAGATGGCCCAGATTGGCATAAGCCGCTCTGGCTTTCACTGTACATAAATTGATCTCATCATTCACGCCACCGCCAGCACTTATGCAGCTACCCAGATACACGAACTTCTCGACTACTTCTATCTGCTCACCATCCAGGGTGAGTACAGGATTAGAATCCTGCCAGTGTTTTAGAAGTACATTCCACTTCGAAGGTGCAAAACACATACCATACCTACGGACACTGATTGCCAACTGATTAAGTGCGGATTGCATGGCTTGGGCATTATCTCACAGTAAGACAATATCATCCGCATAATCAAGATCGAGAAGTCTTTCTCCAAGCAGCAGATTCACACCGCCATTACTTACATTCATCAGAGCTGTTTCCAGAATGTCATCGATGGCAAGGTTGAAGAGGAATGGTGAGATTGGGCAACCTTGCCTAACCCCACTGCTCGAATGGAACAATGGAGAGAGGTGGTTGTATGCCCTCACTCTACCTGAGGTGTTTGTATATAGGGCCTTTAGAATGTTAATAAACTTCTCAGGCACACCCTTCTTCAATAGACAATCCCAGAGAACAGTCCTGTCCAACGAATCGAAGGCAGCCTTAATGTCAAGAAACACTACGATTGTTGACCTTTGATAAGTATGACGGTGTTCTAACATTTGGCGGAGGGTGAAGATATGATCAGTACGTGCTCGACTGGAACAAAAACCAGCCTGCTCCTCGCGAGTCAATCTTTCTCGAGTTTTGATCAACCTACGAAGTATGATGGAAGCGATGGACGCGATCGGAAGTAGACTTATCCCGCCGATAGTTGTTACAGGAACGATGTGAATTCTTTTTAAAGATAGGAAGAACTATCGACTCATTCCATGACGTTGGTACACCCTCTAGTTCCCAGACCTTTGTAAACAACGTTGTCAGTTCCTTAGCTATAAAGTCACCACCATCTTTAAAAAGAGTCGGAGGTAAGTCATCTGGGCCAAGTGATTTGTAGCGCTTCAAGAGTTGGAGTTCCTTGTGGTAGCATACAATTTTCAACCAGGCAGTGACTCGAGAACGTTTAGATAGAACTGAGTTTCCACTATAGGCGAGCTGCTGTATAAGTCGAAAAATAAGAATATATAAAATAGGAATAAAAGAGAGTGAATAAAGGACGTAAAAAATAATAATAATAACAACAATAGTAATAATAATAATGTGAATCGTTTGATTGTTAATCGAAGCAAGACAAGTATTTTCCTTAAATATCGACATTTCATCATATTTGTGTGTGGGCTGTGATACTGTCCGGGTGCCCAGACCGAAGCAGGTGGTTTGCTTAGGGGGCCACACCGCGAGCCTTTGACCTAAAGGTCTGACTCACAGGGCAGTGGAGCATCGTGAGGAGGTGTAGTCCCATGGTAGCCGTTGACCAACGATTGTCTCATACGCCACTTTTCTCCGCAGGATTCTGGAGCCCATGTGCATCATTGGTTTGGGGTCCGGCTAAAGCGCCGGACATTCGCCTTTCGTCCTCTCATTTTCGTAAACAACACCCCCGCCACGAGAAGGCAATGAGTAGGACTTCCCTTTAGTCACAAGTATCAAGGAACATAAGACCTGAGTTTACGGCTTTCTATCAACTATACCTAAAAGCAGCTTGCACTAACTATAACAAATAAATGTGGTACTCGGTAATCATCGTGATACACTTTTATTAAAATTTGTTGTCACTCGGATAGTAAGTTGTACATGTATGGTTTATTCCAGGTGTTTAGTACATACTTTATTGATCTTTATTACTATTTACTTTTTTTTCAAGACGAAATTCTGAGTCAATCAGCCAGGTGAATTCTGTGGCCAGTTCAGAACCTGTTATTGTAAGTTACTGTAACAAATATTACGAGACTTATGATATTCATCACTTCGTTCTACCACCTATATTGTAGTTTTGATCGAAAAAAAATAAGTTAATTTTAACATAAAAATGTTGTACTTTAACATTTACCGGCTCATTACATTGTATAAAAGGTATGAAATTATCTTTGTATATGCAGTGTTTGGCTATTGTTATGCAAATTAATAGTAGTATTTCTAGTTTTTACTAATTATAGTTTTATGGAGTTAGCTTGTATATTCATTGATGAGGCGTTAATGTGGGTTTAAACTTTTCCTCACTGATTATTTTTTGTAACAGGTGTAAAATACCCATGGTTTTCATGAATCTACGTATATTTTCAGCATCATTCGTTAGAATTATTTGACCAATTCATTTACCTCTTCAATTTCAAAGAGATACAATTTAAGTACTGTTTTTAGTGGAAAACGAAAGGAAACAAAATTAGACTAACGTCATGATCTTACTTTACAAGTTCAATCTGAAATCTTGACGTTAGGGATATATTTAGTCCAAACTGTACAGGCGAGTATAGGCTTTCAGCATACGCTCCGCAAAGTGACTGTAATGAGTTGTTATACCTCAAAACCGATTACAATTGTATCGAAGTCATTCACTATTTATCTCTTGTTTAATCTTGAGCATAGTTTCATTTTAGGGTTTTCATCATTCAATCTCATTTTTTGTTCTTAAGCCATATGCTTATATTCATTTGCCCACTTCCATTGATCTGATTATTCCAACTCATTTGCCTTTAATATTTCTAATCTATTCTCGCTTTGAGCGTATTTATTTGTGAACAAGAGTCAATACACATTTGTGCCAGGTCTTAACAATTTGGTGTAATGCAACTCACCAATTAGGTTTATCTGCTCGTTATTGAACTACAGTTTTTGTATGTGCTAATTATACTGTCCAGAACTAAAGTAGATAAGTTGGGTTTCAAATGCATTTGTTGATCATTTTGTAATTATTTGGACTTGCAGAAATACTACAATAAATTATTATCAAGCCTCAAACCATTGTTATTTAGTCATTCTATGTACTATTTTTCTATTATTATTATTATTATTATTATTATTATTGTTGTTGTTATTATTATTATTATTATTGTTGTTGTTATTATTATTATTATTATTATTATTATTATTATTATTATTATTATTATTATTATTATTATTATTATTATTATTATTATTATTATTATTATTATTATTATTATTATTATTATTATTATTATTATTATTATTATTATTATTATTATTATTATTATTATTATTATTATTATTATTATTATTATTATTATTATTATTATTATTATTATTATTATTATTATTATTATTATTATTATTATTATTATTATTATTATTATTATTATTATTATTATTATTATTATTATTATTATTATTATTATTATTATTATTATTTATTATTTTATATTATTTATTTTTTTATTATTATTTATATATATATTATATTATTATTTTATTATTATTATTATATTTTTATTTATATATATTATTATTTATATTTATTATATTATTATTATTATTATTATTATTATTATTATTATTATTATTATTATTATTATTATTATTATTATTATTATTATTATTATTATTATTATTATTATTATTATTATTATTATTATTATTATTATTATTATTATTATTATTATTATTATTATTATTATTATTATTGTTGTTGTTATTATTATTATTATTATTGTTGTTGTTATTATTATTATTATTATTATTATTATTATTATTTTCTAACTGATTTGCGTGTTGTCATCAAGTGTTTTTTCATAAAATATCGGTGCTTGTTAATTTTAGATTGAGAAAAAAAAGCGTTCACTACCTACTGTGGAAGAAGTTAAAGATATGACAGAGAAACGTGATCATGTGCCGGTGATGAACGTAGACTTCTGTAAGTTTCTCAGATGTTTAGTTTCTTTTTCTGCTTTCAGTTATTATGGTTAGTCATGTCTTTTATTGCTGAAACTGTGCTGTTTGTACTAGATTGACTAGATTGATTATTCTCAATAGAGTTGTCCACCATAATCTTTTGTTAATACTGGCTTAGTTTAGGTTAATTACATATCCGTCGTATTTGCTTTTTAAGATTATCCCCAACAGTAAGAGAATACCTTATTTTTTTAAGATTGTCTTCTCACTCCATGTAAAGTTTTCAGAGGGACTAATTTTCTAAATGATCACATTGGTTAAGTTAAGAATAGGTTTTTTACGTAGGAGGTTCTTAAAGCACAGAATTTTGTAATGGTTTGATAAAACTAATTTCAAGAAATATTATACCCGATCTCCTTCATTATTCTCTCTAATTTCTCCTATTACTGTCACTACCTCTACTATTCTATTCAGGGATTTGGCCTGAAAACTTCACCTCTATGCTAATGGGTTATGGTAAATTGAACCGATGTACATACGTACAGGTTCTGTGTTGTGACTGACTGACTGATTATGAGTATTTGCAACAAGATTTAACACCGATGTTGGTTAGTATCACTGTGTATGTATGGTATGGAAAAGTTTGAGGTTACTTGTTATGGTTCAGGCAACTGCCATAGTAAGTAATGACCTTGAGTACTCAGTATCAATCTCTATGTTTCCCTTCCAGCATTAATCTACGTTTCATTCTATATCATTCATTTTCTATATTCACTTATTTTTTTATTCTTCTACTCTAGATTTCTGTCAATGTTGAAATTATTTGTGTTTGTCACTTTTTTAACGCTTTATTGATTTCGCACCCCTGTAATAATACGAACTTTGGCAGTTTGATTTAACACACACTAAGTGGTTAGTTTCTAATCGTTTCTGTTATGAATCTATCACTCGTCGCCATCGACAAGTTTACCGAACATAATCTTTTCCTGTTTATCGATTTTGGAGGATCTCGATTGCTTTTAATGTGTAATCTTTTTATCATCAGGCAATTTACTACGATTATTGTTGTTCAGATTTATCGAGCACTAAATTGAGCCTGTATCATAGCTATACACACTCTGTGGAGTGGTGGTTTAGTGGTTAAGAATCAAGTGTCAACCACAAAGTCCTAGTTTTTAAACCTCCGCGTACTTCAATTCGGGCAACCGGGTAGCATCATCAACCCTCGCACTTAATGTGGCTCATACCCAAGTAACTGTTCAAGCGGCAGTTCAAATCGTGTTTTACACAAACCTTGATTTGGGTAGTATGATAATACCATAATCCACTGTGAAGTGGTAATTTCCAACTAACAGTGGAATAAACGTAACCATCTTGAATAACACAGCTCAATTTTCTCCCACAACTTATTGTTTTATTTCATTTATTTTTGCGGTTTCATTTTTTCAGATGAACTACCCAACGTTGTGAGGGATGTAGAAAGTACAGTGGAGAGTGCCAAAACTAAATTGAAAGAATTTGAACATGTTATTGAGAAATATCTCGATGCACTGCTTATTGCTGTACAAGACAACAATGTAAAAAAATTTTAATCTATAACTTATACTCTTATGAGTTAAATATTTCATTGATATTTTCATTTTTCTTCCCTCATATAAATACATAGTAAATACAATAGTCTTGTAGAATTAAATAGTTTGACTGAATCATGATTGTTTGTTAGCATTGTAAGTCTTTGCATGAAGCATATTTGGCTTGTAATTTGAAGGGGCCACATATGTTGATCATAGTATAATAATACTGCCGTTTCTTCTACTATTAGTAATGATGCCTGTCTCACTTAATTTTATGTTTTGTTGACCAATTTCCTTTATAAAAAAGGCATCATTAATGTAACTGTATAGCATTGTAATTTTTGTCGTTAAGAAAAGATCAAGTGTCAAAGTGGCTTTGTGACGGTGTCTTATAATTTGAAGGTGATTTTTGTAACGTATTGATGTTAGCTGAGGAATCACTGCAATGAGGTAGAGTTAAATAGTTATTGTGTTTGATGGACTGTACTTTCAATTACTGAGTCACCAGTTTATACTTAGTACTTCTTGTCTTCGAATCATTCTCCAGCTTATTTGATGCATCGATGGATTTAATTCTAGTATTATCAATCCTTAAACTACATATTCTGATTAGTTCATTTATTAATTAGTATCTATAAATATTTATCACTTTCTTCATCACATCTGATTATCTTGTTAAGCATTCACAGTTATTTTCAGTAATGAAGTGCATATTCATTTACTTGAAACAGAAATATTTTACGTACAGCTATCTGGCTTCTCCCACTGAAGTAGATCGTTCAGTAGTTGAAAGTCAATTGTACTAATCACATTTAACCACCAATGCTCAAAAAACTTAATAAAACTCAGTATGCAAGTGATGTACGTGAAGTGGTTACTTGGTGCTTATAGTACTCATCTACTGAATTTCAAATTAGAATATCGTCCCACCTACGTAAATTCAAGTCACTAAGTAGTATGACTAGCTTTCACGAAAAGAGGTATGACTCAATACTAAGTATATAATCCTGCATTTAGTTACTAGCTTTGATGTGTTGGAGCCTTATATAACATTCAGCAATCAAGAAATCGTCATTAATATGTAGTAATGTAATTTGCTACCGAAATTCCAAGTTAAAACTTGTTACAGCACCCAGCCTACTACCTAGAAAAGAAATTGCATATTGATTGGGGAGTTGATCGTCCGCATTGAATTTAATAAAAACCACAAGAATACTTCAAAATTCCTAACGCATCTTCCATAACACCGTCTGGTGTTACTTCATCCTTTAGAGTAAGTCGATTAGCTGATAATAAGAGTACATTATGTGGATATTCCAGTGTCTAACACCAATTAAAAGCTTAAAATAGCTTCAATAATAAGCTTATTTCATTGGTTGTACGAAATATATGATACGAGTTTTTAATAAACAGATGATTCAATTACAAACGGTTAACTCTTAAAGTAGAACAAGCAATTGTTACATGCATTTTTAAAATGTATGGAGTTATTATGAAAAACAACTGTAAGTAGTCCAAAACACCGGTATCTTTGATCACATTCTTAAGTTAAATGAGATCATCAATGCTAACCCGTTTTCTTTTTTGGGTCTCTCATCAGGAAATATCGTTTCGCTCTGCAAATAACTGAAAAGTATTAATTGGTCGTGTGCACTTTTTCAGTGTTCAAATTACTCTCGATTCCATCAAGACTGTTATTGTTATTAATTTACTTCACATTTTCTATTGTTTGTTTTACTGTTTGCTCTATAATTCTAGGTTTCCACCATCAAAGCAACAATCAAACCATCCTTATTTGATTTTTAAACCTTTTCCTATTTTATTTTAGTTAATTTCGAAAGAGAAAAACTGGGGTTTTGTCGGAAAACTAGAACTGAAAAAAGATATGTTAGAAGAACAAGTGGAAAAAATCGTCCAGCAAGCTTTGTAAGTGTTAAGTATTTTGGATGTGGGGGACTATCATTTAAATATAAATTCACATGATGTGGATAAATGAATAAAGTGTGAATTTTATTGTTTTCATCACGAACTGACCTTAGACAACCATCGAAAGCACTGGACAGTCGTTGCATTCTAGTATGGGATTTTTCAGCAATGCACAAATACGACTCTCCCAGGGACCGAACCCAGGACCATAATGTCTTGCTGTGAGCACTTAACCTTTAGATCATTGAGTCGACATCTAATTGTTTACATTTATAACTTCAGCCAATTATTCCAATACTAGGAGACTTCTTCACATTTAACATGATCAAACTCCATTGATCGTGATGTCATGGATTCGTACTCCCGAGGAGATTTATATTAGGACGAAACAGCTGCCTAGCACTTGTTTAACTAAGGTCAGTACGTAATGCAAACTACGAAACTCAACGATTCCCACAAACCCTTTGAATCGATGGAAATTTAAATTTTAAGAGGATCATCAGGATTTTATTTATCATTCAATGAATAATTCATTAAACAAAATGATAACATTAAGCTATATATAACAGAGGGGAAGCTGATAAAATCTAAGTTGCGAAATTATTAAAACAATTTAGTGAACCGGGGGATCTTATCGTAAATCTTTGATTGTCATTCTCGATAATTTGAACTTGGATTGTTGTTGTGTTTGAAGAGATTACGAAATCACCTAAAATCGGCAAACGGAACGAAGGATCAGCAACCCAACGACAAGACAAGTTAAACTATTGTAATGCGTCCCAGCCCTGCTAACTAGAGAGAGAAGCCCAGATTTAGAAGAGGTAGAAGTATGTTCTATAAGCAGTCAGAAGCACAAACAAATCAAACATACAACTCTAGTGTGTACATACAGTATAAAGGTCCTTGGGAAACCTCACAGAATAGCGTATTAAAAGAGACAATCAACCAATGACGTTTAGCGTCTTTCCAAGTAGGAAATACAATTTGAAAGTAAAAATGGGCTCGCGAAAGCGAGCGATTCGAATTTTCAAAATAAAATTACAACGAATTCTGTAACAGTCTTTAAGAGAGAAATAGGATATTTGTGTTAAGATTTGTCCTTTCATATTGTTCTCTCTCTGTAACCGTCTTTACAACATCATTCAGGAATTTCCGCACATTGACGTTCTAGTCGATAATCACTTTCCTCTTAGTGCACATTTGTTATTATGGAGGGTTAGTTTGGTAGTTAACTCATTTGATCGTCAACCATTCGGTCACATGTTTTAATCCCTCTCCAGCCACGTTGACCTTGTGAAAATCGGGTACGGTCACTGACCGAGTACTGTTTATTATTCAGTGGGTCGTAACGGTGTATGCTACTTCCTCTTGCTTCCCGTACCACTAGGAGACAACTTTGAACAACTTTTTATTCAGTATTCAATTTTTATATTTAAAATAACTTACCATTTAGTTACATACTTTTTAGAAATATTTATGCTATACCTTGATCAATTTACTAAAAAGTGCTCTATGGTATCACTTTACAATATGAATATCTGTGAAATATAACTTCTATATTTTCTTATTATTTTATGGATATTTTCGCTTGTTAATATTTAAATAAGAAGTAAATTAAGCTACAATTTTCTTCGGAATCCTTAGTTTGTTTTAATGTTTTCTGGGGTTTGTGGTAGTTGAATTCGGTTTTTTATTGGGGTATTTCAGTTTTGTGTTGTTAGTAGATTTCTAAATGGAGAAAATATATCCCATGTTCTTCATTTTAACCAGTAGCTCGGCTGTTTAGATCATCTATCTTCAACTACATCGCTACAGATTTCTGAAGGTTACTTCTATTTTCCTTTGAATATTAGCATTTATAAAAGCTACCAGTCAGTCAATCATATGCAACTTAGGACCTAGCACTTATATGCATCGGTTTAGGTCACCACACCATTCAGCACAGCGAGATCCCTTAGTAGTAGAAGTAGTAACATTATCAATTGTAGTACAAAGATTAGGTGTAAACTCCGTGATTCAAGGAGAAGAAATGAATTCGTGGAAAAAAAAGAAAAAGTATTGGATCGTTTTAGAACTCAGGAACTAAGCAAAACTGAAGAGTGAATGTACCAGCCTTACCGTAAACGATTCTGGCCTATATCATCCAAAGTCTCAAACTATTGGTCAAGATAATAGCGCGAACCCCGACTAGGTAGTCTGCATCTATCAACATACTCAAGTCGACACTCGACTTCATGGATCGATGACACGTTTTAGTTTGATCGCCTTTATTCTATGGATTCAACTTGTAATCTCTAATGGATTTATACCTAAAATTTTTTCTTGTAACGTGATGTTTTGAATAATTATGTTTATTTATTTCCCATCTTTAATAATTAGACAACAACTTGACGAACTTCATCATATCATTGAGCAACATAAGAATTCGGAACAAGCAATTGACAGTAATATTATCCCTGATTCTATTGAATCTTATGGAAAATTACAATATGACTTAACTGGATCAATCAATAAGGTAGGCATACACTTCACGATTTTTTTGTGATTCTAAACTTCAGAATACGTCACTTTGTAGATTTTATTCTGTGAATCTCCCCCAAGTTTATGCGACAGAGAAAAGGTTGGTAAATAACGACGACGTTAGTGGTCTAGGTGTTTGACTTTCAGGGAGTATGTCCAAGATTCTAGTTCTTCTCCACCTACTTTGGTTTGGATAACCGTTTAGTTAGTACCAGTCAAATTCAACTACACATATTTGTACTCGGTAAATGAGTTACACTATTTGATGAGTAACAGTTCATTATCTTGTACTACTTAAAACTTTTTTCCTGTATTACTCCTAAACGAGTGGATTTCTGTTGAATAATGTTTGATCCATGTCAAAACCATATGCTTTTGAGAAGTTCGATATTAAGGCAAAATGGTTGTTGAGTGCTCTCTTTTCTCTTGAGTTCATCAGCTAATATCAGTCCATGATGAAAACTAACTTCGAAATATCTAAACTTTTTACTGGTATATGGAACATTAAGCTGAGTGAACTAGACATAACATAAAAAAGCTGTTTGATTTGTTAGTAAGAACTTCTGAATACATAGTGAGCTCGTATACTGTATATGGCTTCACATGTTAGCATATAAAATATTGAATTCCTAATATCCCCGGGATAAATACGTGTTATATTTAATTGGTCTTGTGAAACATACAGTCGATTGCTTTGCATTCCAATCAGTATTAACCGCTTCTAACGATTTGCCTAACATGCTCAAGCTGCTATAATATAAATATGATCAAAATCAATCCAGCATACAGGATCCCAGTGTGGTCATTCACTTGACCTCATCTCAGCAAAACGGAGAGCCAACGAGATACACCCCCCGTGTATCTGGTGACTTGACGGCCAGCTCTCGTGGACTGGCAGGAGTAGGCATAGCACTAAGCATGAGGGCGGAACAACCACTATTAGAGTGGATCCCCGTTAACAGTCGTTTATGTGCTGTTCGGCTAAACGGCTCCGTAAGAACTCGGAAGGATAGGAACACACGTCGTTGTATTTTCGACATTCCTGCCTACGCTCCCACCGACTGCAGCTCAGATGGAGTGAAAGATGAATTTTACAGAAAGCTATCTGAACTTCTTCAGAAAGCTAAACGTTCAGACATAGTACTCGTAGCAGGTGACTTTAATGCCCAGATAGGTAGTTTAAACCAAACGGAAAGGCATTTAGGTGGGTATTTTAGTATTCTGGCACACCGAACACATAATGGTGATCGTCTGCTGCAACTGTGCTCAGACAACCGTTTATTTTTAGCAAACACAAATTTTAAGCATAAGGAGAGACATCGTCTAACATGGCGACCCCTTACACCAAAACAACGATGGACTCAAATAGACCATATTGCCATCAGTCATCGTCGAAGAGGGTCAGTTTGGAATGCGCTTCTCTCCCTCTAAATGCAAGTTGTTGCTTCAGGACTGGTCTGCGTCAACACCTGAACTAAGGATAGGGAGTGAAGTAGTCGAACGCGTTGACAACTTCACTTATCTTGGAAGTCTGATCAGCACTAATGGGTTGGTGTCTGACGAAATCTCAGCACGGATTCGAAAAGCTCGTTTGGCACTTACCAACTTACGTCACCTATGGCAAAGATGAGATATCCTCTATCAATTAAGGGACGAGTATACTGCGCGGCAGTCCGTTCTGTTTTACTTTACGGCTGCGAAACATGGCCATTAAGAGTAGAAGACACTCGTAAGCTACTAGTATTTGACCACAGATGCCTCAGAAATATTGCTGGCGTCTGCTGGGATCATCGGGTAAGTAATAATGAGGTTAGACGCAGGGTATTAGGAAATAATGGTAAATCAGTTGATGAGGTTGTAAATCTTCACCAACCTAGATGGTTGGCCACGTGTTACGTATGCCTGAACACCGATTACCACGACGTGCAATGCTAACCGGTGTTCGGGATTGTTGGAAGAAAGTTAGGAGCGGCCAAACCAAAATGTGGCATCAGTGCTTGAAGTCACTAACTTGTAGTCTGAGCCATGTTAGTAGATGCAGACTACTTGGTTGGGGTCCGCGTGACTATCGTAACCAATGGTTGGAGACTCTTGATGACATGGCCCAGAATCGATCACAATGGCATCGATGTATACACTCTCTGTCTTCCCTTAAACTAAGAGATTAAAATCGCTTCATATCTTTCTTTCTACGAACTAATTCTTTCTTCGAGTACTATATCCTTATTGCAATCGTTCTTTTATATATTGCCACCTCTGAATTAACTACTTTTATGAATCCGGTATCCATCTTGTTATGTTAATGAGGTATGGCAACTTGGACCGGTGCATATATGTGTCTGGTCCTATGTTGTAGCTGACTGACTGACTGACAATTTTCACGGACCAAATTAGATTAATACTTTATAGTTGGCCTCTAAATATTATTTTACTTTCCGGTTTGTTTCTTCATGTTTTGAATCCCCCCTCTCCCACTGGATTTGAAGTGCTTTTATGATTTTCTCAATGATTTCATTGGCTTATAGGTAGTAAAACTTCAAAACGATATTAATATGCTTAAACGTTATCGTGATTTAGCTTCTTCATCGCATACAAACTTACAAAATGATTTAGAAGCTTTGTCGAAACATATTGAAGGGAAAAAGCAGGGCAAAGGTAAACATTTGTAATTGCTATTATAACATTGTTCTATTTTTTGTATTATTTAAATTGTTAATCCACCCACATTGAAAATATATTTGATAAAATTGAATTACAGTTTTATTGTGTACGTTTGGTAAGATTTGTGCCTAAAACTGATCCGTACTGTAAATTTTTCCTCGATCATGCTATCCTGAGGTCATTTTCAGAATATGTTATTGCTTAGTATTCTTGGACATTACTTCATTCGATATATCCCCAAATTTAGAACACGGTTGAACAGGAATGTGATTATACTCCAAATAAACAAGGAATCGCAATGAGAAAAACGTTAGTATAAGTTCACTTGGTGTTGTTTGCTTGTATCCTCCCATTGTTGTTTAGGACTGTAATTGATTAGTCTCTTGTTGGCATATAAACATCCTGTGCGAATTGCCCTGATAGTGCCTTAAGTCACAAGCTTTATAAGCAAAGATGGATGGTGGCTAGCAGTGGAATCGAGGACACGCGTTTCATCCTATTTGGGACTCGTCAGTTAGATGTACCTGCACCCCACAGTTGATGTTCACTCCACGACTCGAACCCAATACTGTTCGCTTCAAATGCCATCACGTTATCCACTTAGCTGCTGAGTCCTGATAGCCACCTGCTTGTGTAATGGTGCTGTTTGCCTATATCACCAAGTGAATTTAGAGCGGATGGTACCGGGTTCGAGTCCCGGAGTGAGCACCGACTGTGGGATGCAGATACGTCCGACTGATGAGTCCCAAATAGGATTTCACTGCTAGCCACCACCCATTTTTGCTAATAAAACGTTAGTATATTTGTGATTTTTACATAAGATTCTATGGTGTCCTTGTATCTACTAGCACTGATTAGTTATGAAATGGCTAATCAGCGCGCTCCAACACAATTCTGCACGGAATATGCTTTAATCTAATCTATATCCTGCTAACAGAATGACTGAACAGTATTTAACGTTACTTATTTAGGGGATAGCATTATATCCAAGATAAAAGTGGTGTATATATTTTACTGTTTTTTTTTTCAAAATACTGCTGTAATTGCTTTTGACTGCATGAAAGACATAAATTTCAGAAATACTAAAATGTTTATTTGCGACGATATGTACATCAATGATATCAATAAATCCATGAATTATTCCCTGCTAGGCTGTCGAACGAAACAGAACATTTGGATTCACTGTTCCATCGTTTTTTTCCATTTTGCTTAATCATCATCTTAATAATCTAATTATTATTTTGAACTGCGTAGACAAGTGACTTAATAATATATTCTCAGTAAAGCTGACCATAGGAATTTTCTATGTATGATGAATATTTTGTATAGTTTGCTTGTCACCTCAAACAGTGAGGGTATACAACCCCTTCTCTCCATTATCCTATCCAAGCAGTGGGGTTGGGGAAAGTTTCTCAACCTCAACTTTACTATCGATATCATTCTGTAAATACATATTTGTAGTGTAGATCTATTACCTGGATAAGCGCGTCTCGTCTGTGCATATATTTGTGAGGTCCACTTAGCTATTGAAACTTACCAATTGTTTATCATGGGGTATTTATATTTAAGCCTTTAATCTTTATTGGGGGAACATTTCTTATTGAATTAGTCAAAAGAATTTTGAGTGATCACCAATGGCAGATTATGCTATTGTACTTGGTTGAGTGTAGTTTATAGTGAAGAATTTTACTGCTCATTTCCATCATGTAACTTTCTAATAAGAACCCTGATCATGTCATCTGATTTAAATACTCATGTCGAATTTCATAATGAAGTAGTCTTTTCTTTTAATATGATTAGGGTTTGGAATCGATTAAATATTACTACATGCAATAACTAAATAATCTGTCGAAGCGTCTAGCTATTTTCATTATGGTTGATTAACTATATGTATATTAATAGTGATCTGTTGACTTTTTGTATGTATATACATCCAAGGATTTCCTCTCAGCCATCTTTAACAGACTAGAAAAGGTTAAGCAACCTTAGTGTTATGTCTTATGGCTTGTCAATTCTCACGTGATAAGATCACCAATCAGAACACGACTTATACAGTTTCAGTACCGTGCCAAACCGGTGACGTGTTGACAGGTACGAGCAGTCTAAAGTCCTTATTGGTCTTTCTCGTCTAGCCCTGCCCATTAAGTTCAGAAACAAATGTCAGCTTCCACTATATGAATCATATATTTCAGACATACTTGGTTTATATGCAAGTAAACCGGACCACATCATACCATAAAGTAAAAAATAACAATTATACGGGATCAAGTCAAAAAGTTGCTGTGATTGTGAGAGACTGTGGACTAATAAATTGGGAATAACTTAAGACTAGTAAATCGTATGATAGTAGTCAATAGGTTAAATTAAAGCTTATGGTAGAAGGAATATATATATATATATCTTTATATCTCGACTGAAGCTTCTACCTTGACGCGGTGGTCGGGCTTGCCTATCGTGATGACCCAACCGAGCTATATTGGCTGGAACATATGTTCCTGTACGTTCTACCATGCCAGGCAGGTCGATTGGAGAGCGGTAAGACTAAAAGCAGCAACTCAAGGTCTGAGGGCGAATTCGTACTGCTGACTGTAGAGGGGTGTGACAGCAGTAAGGTATATATATATATATATAATCTAGTTACTTAACAGTTATACGATAGGAATATATATATATCATAACAGTCTATAGATAGGTCCTGGAAGCTATTTATGATTTAATCTTCTTCGGATGTAACAAATGGAGTCCATGTTCTTCACTTTCTTGTTCTCTTGCTGTACATTATCCGTCAAAGTATTCTTCAAAATTTCGTTTTCTCTGCACGTATTTGTCACTGAGTAGTAGTAATTAATATTATGTTGTTTATTCCTCAGTATTGATTGGATTTTGTCGATAAAGTTGGATTGTATCAACCAGAGTAAATAGCTTGGAATTTCGTTTAGTATTAGTTGATTGAAGGCACTCGGTAGGAAGCTGTAGACCTAGGTTTTCGTGTTAAAATTCGTCAGCATGATTTATATACAATAATAAAGGCCTTCCGGAATGCTAATACATCTCGTTGATTTGTGTTAGTTGGCATGAAATGAAATTTTGCTGTTTCCTTTTAATATTCTTCATTTGTCCAATGATTCCTGCTTGAAAATAGTCACTGATTATTGTATTTTATTTGTTTTGTTATACTAATTTTATTGGTTATTTTAGGCACTTCCACAACAATGAATGTGGACGAGTTGAATGATTTAATTTCAGTGGCACATGCTCGTATCTCTTCCTTACAAGATAAATTAGATCATTTAGAACATAGTGAAAGAGAACGAATGAAATCAGCCTTAGAAGCACAACGTCAAGCAGATGATAGTCTTCGAAAAGAATATATCAAACAAGAATTAAATCGAGAACGCACGAGAAATGAAATTGAAAGACATAAATGGGTGTGTGACTATTTAGTTTTCTATCTACCTAATTATTATATTTTTTCAACAACACTTCTGGTTGCATAAGAAACTTTTGGGTAGGTGAAATAATTTAACTTCAATTAAAACATCATAACATTGTCTCTTGTATTTACTGAATGATAGACCGATGGAACTGCGACATTGATTGATAACGATTTTAATTTTCGAGTTATTATCACTTATCATTAGATTAAAGATCTACTTAACTAATAAGTATCAAACAGTATAACATATAGATAAAGGGCTTCTTGTGTATTGCTTTATTCTTCTAGAACTTAATGGTCTGTGTACTCAGGTGATAATCATCAGGTCCCAAATTTGAACCTCAACTCACTTATTTTTAGATAGTCCTGTCCTTACACGAATTTATACTTAGTTGCCGAGTTGAAAACGTCATTAAAATTAAAACTTAACGTTGTCGAAATATGGAGAGTGAGATGATAGATGTTTTAGTAATTTAGATACGAATCACTAAGTGAATGCTCAGAAGCGTTGTGTGAATTAGCTAGATTATCCTAACACAGGTAAACTGAGGTAGATTTTTAATTTCACTATTAATCGTTTTAAACATCTCATGGCTATATTTGTGTTCATTTGGTAGTATATATAAGATCATATGTCAAGAAACTGCAGAGGATTTTTGTACGCACTCAAAATTCCATCGATCTGACCTTATTTATTGGTTAAATAACTGAATTCCATCCAGTTTCTATCTCCGTTTGATCAATCAATCAGTCAAAAGCAACGTTATATCCGATGTGTATGTCTATTGACCTATGTTTCCACATCACATTCACATAGACTGATGAATAACAAAGTAACGATGTTAGTAGTAGTAATAGTTGCAGCCGTTGTAAATAGTAGTAGTAGTAGTATCGGTAATAGTAGAAACAATTACGGATTGTGGATTGTAATTGAAGGCGGAAGAATTAATTCACAGACTAAAAGGCATAAAGTAGTTTTAATGCACATTAACTATTGTTAATACATTTTTCCCTATGGCTTGGTCAGGATATTGTACACTGTTTTTTGTCATTTTTCAAAAGCCTGCTTATTTTACATGGTTTTATCACAAAAAGTATTTTATTGCATGAATAATTATTATTCATCTGTACAATATTATTTAAATTAGTTACGGGAAGCACGTGATGCTCGAGAACATGAATTGAAATTAGCACTGGCGAGACATAGTGAACATCTTTCACATATGTTACAATTACAGAAAGAGAAAATGGAGCATCAATTCGCACATCAGCTACGTGAAGAGTTGGCAAAAGAAAGAGTCGCTTTTGAAGCTGCACTTATCGGTTGGACTAAGCGTATGGAAGCCATAGAAGATGTTATAGACGGTTAGTTAACCATTGATTTTTTATTTCATGCAGTAATAACCTACAAAGTCCTCTTAAGAAAAAAATATATGTTCAGTATTTAATATTCATGTTATCTGTGGCTTGTTGCTCTATGCATTCGACTTTCAACCAGCGGGTCATAAGTTAATAATTCGCTTCATGTTTGGCAATCAGATTTTAAACTTTATTTTTTGTTGCTTTACAATTCTGACTCCTTAATTCAATAAACGGGATCGTACGTGGATATCAACTTGTATGTTGTATCGTTTCCATTATGTATCAGCACATCTAAAAATTCAATACTTGGCACGTAGTTCATTCTTTACGTCTTTCTTTTTTCTCTTCAACATGTGCTTTATTAGCAGCTCATCACACATTAATTTTCCTATTTCAGGAAGAGCGGATCTAGATCGGTTAGCTAAAGAAGCACAATCATTATGGCTGTCATGTGAAGCTTTAGCCTGTCGATTGCATTCAGTTAGCCCGTCAATGAAATCTCACCATGAAACGAAAAGCGATTCGGTCCTACTGAGTCAAACTGGATCTTTAAAAGATTTTGTCAATTCCATTCGTGAATGCGCCGCTTCCGGAAATTACCCTTTTGTCAAAATAATTCTAGACAGTCTATCTTCTGATATAGTGGAAAATGGAGTTTGGACAGAAAATGGATTGAAGAAGAGGTTTGAAAAGGTGAATTTCTATCTTTTTTTACAGTTTTTTAAATAATTCAAATGGATTTTTCGTGTTTGATTTCTTGAATTTGGTTATAACTTAAGACTGAATAGATATGCATATGACTTAAGTGATGCTCATTGACTTGCATTTTAATAGTTGAAACATCGTTTCCATCATACCGCCTTTTGAATCCACTATTCCCCAAAATACTGTCGATGCGAAACCAAAACTTTTTTTAGTAAACATGACATAAAGTTTTACCATCGTCTGTCATGTGTGCAGACCGAACCATGTGTTACCATTGCCTAATAACCAGTTTTAACACATTGAAGGCCCGGCTTGAAGACAAATATGCCGCTACAAGATGTCATTACTTTTTGTCATATCTTATGACATCTATAAATATTATGGCTATAGAAGGATTTAATAATTAAGTTTTTTTGTAATTCAGCAACCAAGTGCCAATTTGCGTGTTTAGTCTTTTACTGTATTTTACATATATATGTATGAATTAGTGCTGTTACCCAGGTGCCTAGATCGATTTTGCTTTACCGGGGTTCGAACTTGCGGTTTCATGGACGAATATTGTGTTTAAGACCCTACACCACTGCTTGTACATTAAAGTAAATTGTTTGTAACAATGGTTTCATTATCAATAAGTAATTGCGAGTGAATTTTAAATTATCTCTCATTGTTCTACAGAGCTGGTTTCCGTGACTACTTATCTCCTTCAACCAAGATGCTTGAACGTTTTTAGGAAAATATCATTTTATATCTTACATTGACCATTGTAAAGCAAAATTCATGTACTTATAATATAACTCACTTAAAAAAATAACTTTTCCGAAATGTCGCATTCATTTGTTTTTGTGTGTTCAGATTAAACGGTATCAAAGCAACTTTATTGAGAAATCGACTTACTCATTTGCTTTATGGAAGTGTTATTGTATATTTTGAATGTTAATTACAGTCTTCATTGTAGAGTTATATGGTACCTTGTGCATACTAATAATATATATTGTACAGGGTTGAATGTGTTTCATCTCCATCTGTCACGTCTATTTCAAAATTTGTTTTTAAATCTTTATCAAAGCGATTGCTAAAAATGTCGACTTGTCATATTCCATATGTGTTATGTCGGACACTGTTATGTCTACTGAATGCTTAACTGGCTTGTACTTTGTACTAAGGTCCTGAATTTGGAGACGCATAGTGAGAAAACGAAGACTGGTGATAAGGATTTATTTGACCTGGGAAATACATCGAAATGGTGCATGAAGAAACTCATTTACATATTGATTTTACTCGAATCTTATGATTGGTTAATAATTCCTAAACAGAGGAAATACACAGAATTATTACAAACACTCAGACTACATACCATACTGAAACGAATTTCTTACCGAATTAATTCAAAAAATATAATCTTGAATAAATCAATATTATACTGAACAAAATATCACATTGAAATCAAAACAAATATTACTCTGTATAGCCAGAATGCTAAGTCAAAAATAAGAGTAATGTTAAATGAAAAGCACAGTGAGTTAAGAACGTGATTTTAGCAGTTAATAGATTGGAATAAGATTTTGTGAATAATCAGTTTTATAAGTACTGAAAAATGAACCAACCACCGCGCACCTCGAGGTGTGTTTACTTGGATAAAAGCGAACTGGAATAAATTGACGAAATCAATACATGAAATCAGTCCATGAAGTCATTGACTACTGATCTAAACCATCCTGAGAGATGCAGATTACCTATTTGAAGTTCGTGCAATGACGGCGATTTGAGATTGTATGATGTGGTTTAAAGTAGTTTACAGTGCCACAGGTACATTCACTCTTTATCTTCCTGTTGATTTGCAATCCCATATTTTCCTCATATGTATATCCTTCAACTGAATGTTCTCAATCCATATTTCAATTATTAGGTTCTTCTCACTGTCACTGCTACTACATTATTTCTATCTCTTTCACAATACATCTTGTTTATTTCATATCATCGTGCTAATGTGGTGTGGGAACTTGAACCAACGCAAATCTTTGCAAGGCTCTATGTCGATAATCAATGAATGGCTGGCAAGTCGAAATGGGTCAATTATTTCTTTTATTAAATTGCTTTTTTGTCCGATTGGACATAGTCTTGATTTTTTAGATGCTTTTTTACTTTAGACCTTTTCAAGGCAACTGATATATTCTAGTTTTATTATTTATAACTTGGCCTATCATGGACTATTCACACACGTATATCATTAGATTTGTAGGTTATATTTCAAGGGCGAATTTCGTTTGTGAAATATCCCTTTCATTCATTTCGCATTTGTAATGATTACATATTAGATTATTCGTAAAGATTTTGCATTTGTTTTGTACCGTTTGCTGTTTTTTGTTTTCTAAGGTATATAACGTCTGCAGAAATGTCGCATTAATTGATGAAACAAGTGGTTCACTATGGGAATATGCTTTATCATGGCTACAGTCTATATTAATCGTAGATGTGAAATATAAATGTTTGGAAGCGATTTCACGTATTAAACCAAATATTGGTAGTCCTTATATTCAATACATTAAAGATTATGATACAACGAAACAAACGGACTCAAGACCAGATTCATTTCAGTTGTTATCTAGTGCCAAATTCGCTATGGCTAGCGACCATAATATCTTTTCAGGTGACGAAAATACATCTGGTGATGAAGCACTTGAAACAGCTGTACGATTGTTAGGTCAGTTGCGTGGTCAATCTCGTGTTGTTGCAAATGATTGGTTAGTTGATGCTCGACACTATTTAGAAGCTAAACAAACTGCTAGAACGTTATTAGCTTATGTTGCTGCTCGTGATATTTCTACTTTCCAAAAACGTCTATAATTGTGTTCGAAAAGAACCATTTAAAAGGGCTATTTCATTATTTATCATTCTTATTGTCGTTCTTGAGTACTGTTTGAATCTTTTCATGAAGCATCTTTTGTGAAATTAGTATTTAATTTTTGTATGAAGGGAATTCTGATTTGTAATTACCCTTATTTAAATGTACATGAATATAACTAGACAGAAATACAGTAGTACACTTTTCCTATCAAGATTTTCTTTGGTATTTCACAGGTTGGTGTTATTGTTGTTAAAAATCTTTCCACTACTTAGATTACACAATATCTTGTCTAGCAAATTCCATTTAGTCAGTTGCTTGTAGTAATTTTATATTTATATCTTTATGGTAGTAATAATACTTACGGGCAAATAAATAGCATATATCACCCACTACCCCAAATCTTAGGATATTAGCATTGAATATACTCTACGATTTAGGAGTTTGTAGTTAAACTCCATTAAATCTTTGGAACAACCAGTTTGTTTGGTTCTAATCAGACCTTTCATCGGCCCTCGCTGGCGTAGATCCGTTAAATTCAATCTATCTGTATGTCATTGTCATTGAGTTGTTGAAGCATGATATTTCAGCGATTAAATACTAGCTATTTAAGTTCGAAAATTGTGACTGCTTATGCAATCAATATGCGTATTATTTTCAGTGTCTTGTTTGTTTTTTTTTTTGCAACAATATATTGACTATATATGTTTGCAGTAGTTCAGTGAATACATACGGCGATACGTATTCATTTTTCAAATCATTTTCACATCCATACCTAATGCTGCAAGATGATACAAAAGATCACTAAATTGTTGTTATAATAAGTATTGGGAACTCCTTAATAATCGAAGTGGGTTTGGCAAAGGACAATTCAATAATTTCCAACGATTAGGTACTATAAATCAGGATGATTGTCGACAAGGTTACTCAAATATAATGTATTTACAAAATATGATTCCACGTAGATCCGAGAATAATTAATCAAGTAGTTTATTTGAAGATGTATTTCACCAACTAGTGCATATAATTTTGCTGCTGGTTCATTGGCCAGATAGATTGCTGACCATCCTAAGTATACTTCACCATCAAAACTAATAAGATTCTAAGACGTTGAACTATAATGCTTTTATCCACAGGTTTTGACACTGAATACGTGGTTATTGTACGCCATAGACTAGAATAAAATATTACATGTCTAGTTTTTCGCTTGAAAACAATGTAGTCTCACCTGTCGAATGATTGTTAGTGAACTCTGTCATACATTACTAGTAATTGATTTAAGCAACAGATGGTTCGAGGACTGCTTGAAAGTTACCTGCTCTATATACTTCGAAAGGAGAAAATAGAGATCTTTGGTTAGTCTAAATAAATTTCTCATTTCACTGGTGCTTAGAATTTTTCTGGTCGCCATGTTTATTCACAAAATGTCCTCAAAGTTCTTGAAGATTTCAAAGTATTTATTTGTTTTTGGGTTCCAAAATATTCTCAACTTATATAGTCCTCGACGTAAGTAGATGTCTTGACACTCAGAAATCAGTTTACATATGCTGAGTTCGCAAAGTAGGAACGTTTTAGTTTATTTTTTATGTAATGAAAGAATATGTTCAATATCTTTGTGACGAGTTAGTGTTAACAAATTGTTTTCTTTGCATTCGCACCTCAGAATTAAGGTAGGTTCCAGGTCTTGTGTAGATTCTAATATTAATGATCTGGCCGAATGGCTGCACTAGTCCTGTTACTTTTGAATTATTTGGTTGTTGATATATCTTGAGTGTGTACATCCTCCAGACTAGTGGAATTACCAAGACCAGCAGTAATCACGCTTATGGGTTTAATTGTTGGTTGTAATATAAAATATTTGGAATCACGAGTTGTAGAGAAAGTGCAGCGGCTAAGGGTAAATTAGTTGACTAATCAGGCAAATAAATATATGAGCTAATAAAATATAACATAAACAAGTGAACAATATTGTTTTCAATTAATTTCTCATCAGGCATTAACACGCGGTAATATGTGGATCTAACATTGTAGGATCAGTCGACAGTTGTTTCTCTATTTAAGAGCTTACTTTCTACAACAACTAACAAGGGATAAGTCTACTTCTGATTGCGTCCATCGCTTCCATCATACTTCGTAGGTTGATCAAAACTCGAGAAAGATTGACTCGCGAGGAGCAGGCTGGTTTTTGTTCCAGTCGAGCACGTACTGATCATATCTTCACCCTCCGCCAAATGTTAGAACACCGTCATACTTATCAAAGGTCAACAATCGTAGTGTTTCTTGACATTAAGGCTGCCTTCGATTCGTTGGACAGGACTGTTCTCTGGGATTGTCTATTGAAGAAGGGTGTGCCTGAGAAGTTTATTAACATTCTAAAGGCCCTATATACAAACACCTCAGGTAGAGTGAGGGCATACAACCACCTCTCTCCATTGTTCCATTGGAGCAGTTGACCTTTAGGTCAAAGGCTCGCGGTGTGGCCCCCTAAGCAAACCACCTGCTTCGGTCTGGGCACCCGGACAGTATCACAGCCCACACACAAATATGATGAAATGTCGATATTTATGGAAAATACTTGTCTTGCTTCGATTAACGATCAAACGATTCACATTATTATTATTACTATTGTTGTTATTATTATTATTTTTTAGTCCTTTATTCACTCTCTTTTATTCCTATTTTATATATTCTTATTTTTCGACTTATACAGCAGCTCGCCTATAGTGGAAACTCAGTTCTATCTAAACGTTCTCGAGTCACTGCCTGGTTGAAAATTGTATGCTACCACAAGGAACTCCAACTCTTGAAGCGCTACAAATCACCTGGTCCGGATGACTTACCTCCGGCAAGGTTGCCCAATCTCACCATTCCTCTTCAACTTTGCCATCGATGACATTCTGGAAACAGCTCTGATGAATGTAAGTAATGGCGGCGTGAATCTGTTGTCTGGAGAAAGACTTCTCGACCTTGAGTATGCGGATGATATTGTCTTACTGTGAGATAATGCCCAAGCCATGCAATCCGCACTTAATCAGTTGGCAATCGGTGTCCGTAGGTATGGTATGTGTTTTGCACCTTCGAAGTGGAATGTACTTCTAAAACACTGGCAGGATTCTAATCCTGTACTCACCCTGGATGGTGAGCAGATAGAAGTAGTCGAGAAGTTCGTGTATCTGGGTAGCTGCATAAGTGCTGGCGGTGGCGTGAATGATGAGATCAATTTATGTACAGTGAAAGCCAGAGCGGCTTATGCCAATCTGGGCCATCTTTGGCACCCTCGTGATGTTAGTCTGGCTGTAAAAGGTCGGATCTACAACACGACTGTGAGAGCAGTTTTCCTCTATCCTTGTGAAACCTGGCCTCTCCGAGTTGAGGATGTTAGACGACTCTGTGTTCGATCATCGTTGTCTCCGAAGGATTGCTGACATCCAGTGACAACACCATGTTAGTAATGCAAGGGTACGGCACCGTGTGTTCGGGCACAGAGACGATAATGCAATTGGTGTCACCATCTTGAAACACCGGCTTGGGTGGCTTGGACATGTTCTACGAATGTCGTCCCAGAGAATTCCACGTCGCGCATTATTTGCCGACGCTGGGACTGATTGGAAAAAGCGGAGAGGTAGTCAGTGTATGACATGGTGTCGTGGTATGAAAGAAAGCTGCAAAGGGCTGGCTTCTGTTGGCCCTTCACGACTCCCTGGCTGGGGTCCGAGAGATGGTGCAACACAGTGGCTACAGACGTTATCAGATATGGCTCAGAATAGAAGCCAGTGGTCATCCCGCTCTATCTTAACTTCATAAAAGTGGACGTAACTTCTTTAAGTTCTGTTCACTGTTTTTATTTTTATCATGCGCATTTATTATTATCTTTATCTTTACGTCTACATTATTATTATGAAGTGCATATGTATCAATTTTTATGTTTTCATATATATATTTATAATTTAAAACAATATTGTTCTCTTGTATATGTCGTTCTAATTCACAATATGTGAATTTTTAATGAAAAAATAAACAGACGTTCTGAGAGATGAGGTTGCGTAGTTGAAATTACTTTTGTTAATAAACTATGGTGGGTAAAACACGAATTTTAGTGTTGTAGGACAACTGATTGAAAAAAACTATCCGTCAGGACATTCAGTCTTCATGCACTCCTATTTGTAGGACAGGAGATCTAGTGTGTCTTTCGAGCCTAACTCATACATGGCGTTCTTGATGTCATCTGATAATGGTTTCCGTATAAGACTGGTTCATATTAAATAGGCGATGATAATTCGTGTGTATATTATCTTTTTTGATCTACGACTTTTCGAGCATTATATCATGGGTTAGAATGGTGGGTTTCAGGGAGATGTGGTTCGGGTTGCATATTATGTCATGCAACGTAATAAATTTTCTTGTTATTCTGTTATAACCTAGTGGAAGTAATCCCAGATTGTAAGTTCGATCTTTTTGTAATTTCTTTCCCGAATTCAGTGATCTGTTTCTTTTCATTCTTTGGAACTTGCTCTAAGTGATCAGCATTTCTTTTCTAGAAGATGAGGTGCGACGAGACTTTTATTTTCAGGATAGGCCGGCGTTAAAACCAGTAATCTGCGTTGGTAGGGAATCATGGTCTGAGAACAATTAAACTTCAAATATTTGTAGAGAATTGTTTTACTGCAGGTTGTTTACACCACATATGACACCCTGGCAGTTGACTTACAACCAAGTTTTGGGGATTAGAAATAATATCTTCAACTTTCCGTTTGAAAATAGCATAATTCTTTATTCAGTATAAGAATTTACGAACATCAATATTAATTTGCTTTAGCTTCTATTGGAAAATAATAGTTAACCGATACAGATGAATAACAAAGACTACAGGTATTGTCAACAGTAAGTAACATTGGTATCTTTGGTTGATATTTCTTTCAAATATATACCATGTACGTTCTACATAACGTATGACAGGGTGCTTGGAGATAAAAAACAAACAAAATAATAATAAGTTGTAAACCATAGTTTCTAGTCTGAAGCATTGGATTATAACACAAACAAGCGAAATCTCAGCACTGAAAATAAGTTGGCAACTGTGGTTTTGCTTTGGAGTCATTTAATCTAAACTTCATGAAGTCATTTAGCACATGATTTAATAAGACCTAGTCATGCTGATATATTCAACTACTAACATCCCAGTAGTAAAATATGTAGCGTAATTCCCAACCTAAAGAGACATATTTACAATCTGAGTGAGATTTCTTCATAAACGTCACCGTTTTTGAACGTCACTCAAACTCATTGATTTCTTCAAATGATCATTTATGCAGGATCACAAATTGTAGTTCCATTTAATATACGACTTAAAATAATTTAATCCTGGATAATGACAGAGTTCTTGGCGAGTTA